AGCATGCAAATTATATGCTGTGCTTAAAGCTCTAAATTTATTGAAAGGAAAAAGTGGGACTATTTTTACTAATTCTAAATATGCCTATAAAGTAGTTCATACTTTTAGTAAAATCTAAGAAGAAAGAAGACCACAAGAACGGCAATACGGACAGCCGAGAAAGAGTGGACGCATGCCAGTCGAGTTAAAAGTCCGGCCACCACAGATGACCAGTAAAAAGTAGACAGCCAGCCTAGGAATTTGAAGGTTACCATTAAGAAAAATCTATGAACTCTGTGTGCATCATTTAAGTCGATCGCAAAGGAGAACAAAAAGGGATATAATTACCTACTTATTAGTAATTATTTAGTAGTTTATAATAAGGTAAATTATAATTATTATCCTTTTGTATGTTTTAGTAATTATTTTAATGATTATTTGATAATTTATAATAAGGTAGATTGTGATTGTTGTCCTTTTAAGTGCTTTACATGTAAAATTTGCCAAGAACAGTGGCAGGTCCATTGCCAAGGGGGGGAAGCCGCCAACTGGGGTCTGAACAGAAATTGTATTAAAATCAAGAAAATTGAAAAATCAGTAGATTTGTTTGGAGTCTGAGGACTGGTAAAAAAAAAAATATACACCAAAGGAGTGCATCAGGAAACTTTTGTTTCCATACTAACAAACCCACTCCATTTGTTGTCCAAATTCTAAAAAGGTGTTGTCAGAGGGAACTAAAGGGGGTCCCGTGCGACCCACCCCCGGTCAAAGATAAAAATAGGGAACAGTACAAGGTTAGGCAGGAGCAGGGGAAGGGACGCCCAGGCGAGTACCGCTGCTGCCAAGAAGATAATTTACCTCGGAGCTCGAAGCACCGGAGTCGGCGAGCAAGGCAGAGGGGAAAAAGCCAGGTCCACCAGCAGATAGAATAATGCTGAAATGCTCCAACTATTGCCAACTGAGTACTAGGCTCCCCCAGATGACTGGTCTGATTGCCTCTGAAACACAAGAAAGGCAACAAACCCAAGAGGGAAAAACAAGATATTATGCAATAAAAACAAGGTCAGGACCCCACCCTTATTGGCAGATTATAAGTATTTTAATGCTTTGTATCATACATAAAGGGGAGGGTTCCCCAGCTCTGCACCAGCCCTTTAAGTGGACGCTAACCGGAATAGATGCCAGTGTAATTCGGAGTCAAATAACATCCGGACCCCCTAGTTTTACCCCACAGTTATGTGAACTAGCCCCTGTAGAGCCCTGTTTTAATACCGCAGGATTTTACATGTGTCCAGCATCGAACCCAGGGAAAGGGTATTGCAATTACCCTGGAGAATATTTCTGTGGGTACTGGGGGTGTGAAACAATAGCCTCAGACTGGCAAGCAGCAAGAGATAAATTTCTTAAAGTATCATGGGGACCCTATGGGTGTACACCTCCACAAAAGGATTCTAGTGGCGCCTTCTTGGGCAGGTGGAAAGGGAGTTGCCAATTTGTACATTTAAACATAACTGAGCCCACAGACCCAGGATGGATGGTGGGAAGATCATGGGGCTTTTGATATTGGGAGCCTGGAAAAGACAGAGGGAGCGTATTTACCATAAAGAAAGGGCCTGTACCAGCAGACACACAGGCAGTGGGCCCTAATCCTGTAATAGTTGGGGATTTAACAGCTAGGAACCTGATAACGGATAAACAAACTACAACTCCTACAACACCGCCAAGTGGAGATTCCCAGTTTAACACTCTCTGGAAGTTAGTTGAGGGAATATATAAAGTCTTAAATGCTACTCAGCCAGAATTAACAGAACACTGTTGGCTCTGCTTTGATATTAGGCCTCCATTTTACAAAGCTGTAGGGATATCTGAAAAAGCGAGACGTCTTAATAGTAGCAATCCCTCGCAATGTAATTGGAAAAATTCCTGGGGTAAAGGAATGACTTTGGCTTCAATAACAGGAAGGGGACGATGTATTGGCAGAGTACCCACACACCTGGAAAGCTAAACGGGAAGATACTCCAGCTAAATGGCTAGCTCCCGCTAAAAACACCAAGTGGATCTGCTCAAAAGGAGGATTCACCCCCTGTATTTCCTTAGAAATATTTAACAAAACCTCTGATTATTGTATACAGGTAGCTGTGATTCCCAAAATTATCTATCACCCCAACGAACATATGTATAATGTACAAAACATCCCAGAACGCCACATACAAAACCAAGAGCCTTTCACCGCACTTGCAGTGACAGTTTTAATGCTTGCAGGGGGAGCAGGTGTTGGTACAGGAGTAGCCTTCCTAGTAAAACAAACAAAGGAGTTTAATTCCCTGAGGATTGCTGTAGACGAAGATTTGGAACGTATAGAACAATCAATATCAGCATTAGAAAAATCAGTAAGGTCCTTATCGGAAATAGTTCTGCAGAATAGAAGAGGACTAGATCTTCTATTCTTACAACAGGGAGGACTGTGTGCGGCTCTCCGGGAAGAATGTTGTGTGTATGCAGATCACACTGGGGTGGTACGAGACACCATAACAAAACTAAAAGCAGGACTTGAGAAAAGGAAAAGGGAAAGAGAGGCCCAGCAGAGCTGGTATGAGACCTGGTTTAATCACTCTCCTTGGTTAACTACCTTGCTATCTACAATTGTGGGTCCTTTAATATTATTAGTGTTAGGATTAACATTTGGCCCATGTATATTCAACAAGGTAATTGAAATAGTAAAAAGAAGATTGGAAGCAGCACACCTGATGCTAATCAAAGCCAAATATGAAACTCTCCCTGGAGATCCTGAAGTAGAAGAGACTTTGATTCTAGCCCACCAAGAAAAAAAACGATTTGATGAACAAAATGATAAAAGATTAAATGGGGAACTGTGAGAAACTGCATTGACTTGTTTGTTCATCAAAAGTATGAAATTAAGATAAAAGAGTGGGGGGGTCAGGGCATGGAATTTGCAGGCTTGGGCAAGGCTGGAAACCGCAAACAAAGATTGTGAAAGATCTTGCAGGAGTGGCTAGAACTGATAACTGCAGCGGAAGGAGATCCATCACCCCCACTTGTCAAACCAACTGCTGCTGGAACTGATAACTACAGTGGAAGGAAACCCATCACCCCCACTGGTGCTGGATAAAAAGGGACTGAAGTGAAGTAAAGGTTGTCAGCTTTTGGCGGAGCCATGCTCCCAGCTGCACCCAGCACTGTTTGCTTGCTATCGCTTGTTGTTATTAATAAAATTATTAATTGATCTTAAAAGGCTGAATCAAATTATTCGCCTCAATTTATAACACTCATTAGTAAAGTGGTGAGTGTCCTCGTTTGTCACGCGGGGGACTGGGATTCAATTCCCCGACGGGGAGGCGGACATACCATCTTGGTGTGCCATCACTTTACTTTTCGCCACCACTGGGAACATGGTTGGAAGAGTATGGAAAAGTAAAGTCAACGTCCGCGGCGGTGGCGCTGGGCGGCCGTGATCGTATAGTGGTCAGTACTCTGCGTTGTGGCCGCAGCAACCTCGGTTCGAATCCGAGTCACGGCAGAAAAATATATGGTGGTTTTTTTTCCCCCCCCCCCCACCTCTGCCGCCGTCGTTGTCTGAGAGCGCCTTAGCCGGGATGGGGCCGACCCCGGCTACGGCGTAGGTACGGCCAGGACCCATCCCTGGGCTGGAGTGGTTTGAGACCGAGAATGCTAAAACGGCAAAAAAAAATAAAGGCTGAAAAACAAAACTCCAGAAAAGATACCACCCAACCAAAACAAAATGCCTAATGGCTAATACGGGAATCGAACCCGCGATTAGGGCGTTATTAGCACGACGCTCCATCCAACTGAACTAAGCGGCCTGCTGCCCAGCACCCCCCACGGGACTAATTGACAGCCTATCAGCTGCCTCGGCGTGCCCCCGCCCGCGGGGCCTGCGCGCAAATCCCGGCGCCCCTCGCCGGGGGCGGCGGCAAACAGGGAACTCATCAGGAGAAACGCTGGAAAAAGCAAGGGGGCGGAGCTGCCGTCAGGGCGGGGAAATATGGAAAAGCCAAAACCAAATATACATCCGGTAGTCGTGGCCGAGTGGTTAAGGCGATGGACTAGAAATCCATTGGGGTCTCCCCGCGCAGGTTCGAATCCTGCCGACTACGAGGAGCTTGTTTTTAATTTTTTTTTTTTTCTGATTTTGAATGTTCTTCTCTCTTCGCTGTTCCAAATCCGCTCGCTGTTTGCCTTTTTTATTTTTTAGCACACGATAAAAATTTTCACCAGTAAGAAATAAGGAAAACGGGGGAATTCGGAGCCACGCCCTGAGAGCCCCAGCTCGGAGCAGGGACCCTCCAGCAGGGAAGGGGCCGCTCCCGGCCGCCACCCGCCACCCTTTTGGGTACGGCGAGGCGGGGCTGCCGAGGGCCCGCCCGGCGCCGTGGCTTAGCTGGTTAAAGCGCCTGTCTAGGTTCGAATCGCAGCGGTACCTGGGTTGTGCCCGGCGCTCCTCGCAGGTTTATTCTGGGGGGACCGCCGCTGTTCCTTGGCCGGGCTTCTTCCCGCTCTTCCCGTATCCGCAGCCTCCCAGCGCGGCCCGAGTGGCTCGTCCCTGCTTTGTAGCGGCATAAGCTGGGCAAGGCACCGATTGTTTTCATTATTTGACCCGCAGAGACGGAGGGGTCCCCATGTACCCAGCTGCCGCCCCCGTGGGGCCGTCCTCTAGCGCGGACTGGGATGTCAGCCCGTATCGTTTCGTACAGGAAATTGGGCTGTGCCCTCCTGCAGGTCAACCCTAAACAACGCCTTTCCTTCAGCCCCTCGCTTCCGCCTCACGTCCGGCTGGGCACCGTCCTCCCGAAGACCTCCAAAAGGGCGACGCTCTCTGCCACTTATGTTGATGGGCAAGGAGTGCAGGAAGAATCCGCACCAGCATCCACCACGACGGGCGAGGCCCAAAACGAAGGTGGCCCGTACGGGGATCGAACCCGCGACCTTGGCGTTATTAGCACCACGCTCTAACCAACTGAGCTAACCGGCCTGCTCATTACCTGTACTACCAGTATTTTACATGTCGGACTACAGCCGGAGTGATGCCGACCTGTGCAGACGTCGGGGCGCCGATCCCAACCAAGCCGATGCTAACTGCGACGGCATCGCCTGCACCGAACGGAGGCACAAATGCATGGGCACTACGTGTATTCCTGGCGCACTTCCTTCCTCCGCTCGCCCACCCGCGGCTGCGCTGAATGGGGCTCTGTCCCGGCCCACCCGCGTTTGGCAGGACCACGCATCAACACAGCACTGCGCGGAGCACAAGAAAAGGGGAAAACACTAGTGTCAGGAGTGGGATTCGAACCCACGCCTCCAGGGGAGACTGCGACCTGAACGCAGCGCCTTAGACCGCTCGGCCATCCTGACACCTGAGTTACTCCTCCAGTCGGCCCAATTCGCTTCCGTCACATCCCGGAGTTTCATTATATACAGCATAAGCGTGTATCATTTATAGCACCTGAATGGACGAGGCAGCGGCAGAGCGATGCCGGGATAGCAGGCACCCCAGCTGCCCAATGCAGCCTCCAGGCTCTGTATAAACACCCCCGACAGACCACCCTGAAACACCGTTCAGCAGCAGGAACCACTGTTCTGTCACCCCCTCAGTGAACCAGAGGTGAAGGGTACTTTCAGCCCTCCCCAAGAGACCAAAAATTTTTGGGTTATAAAGACCTGCTTACATTAGAGTAGTCCAGAAACCTGGACTAACAATAGAGATACATTAGAGATACTAACATTAGAGCAATAGAGTTTTGCTCAGATCTGTAGATAACTGTGCAAACCAAAGTAATTTATTATTTAAAATAATTTAACTTTTAATACCAAAACCACACATTCACATCACTCTGCAGCAGAAATTTGCCAGTTCATGAGATTGCAGCTAAAGGTAGATGCTAGACCTTCACCTTCAGAGTTTCCTCAAAACTAGCAGTTACAAAATAAAGTCCCCACAACAACTAGAAACTCAGGTTCTGTTTCACAGAAAGTGAAGTATTTGTGGTGGTGGAACAGCAGGCCAGAGGCCTTTCAAACTGAACCTGGACTGGAGGCAGCAGAAGCTGTGAGAAAGCTGACAGCGCTTTGTGAGAAGAGTCCTGCAGCAGTGGAAAACACCTTGCTTTCCCTGAGAAAGAACTCTAGGAACTAGCCACCTGTATGAACTTTTTGCAACCATTAGGTAGAAACATGAAAACAGTATGTCACAAACAAGTCTTTCTGCACGTAAACACCAGGGGATTGAGCGACCAATCAATACAGGGAAACAACTTGTTATTATAGTCAAGGGGATAGTTACAGGGTGCTCTTTAAAAGTCTGTATAAAGAGATGTGGGACTAAACCGACATCTTTTGCTCCATTAAAAGTGTATCCCACATCTTTCTTTAAGGAGCTCAACAGCAACAGTATTCTTCTAAGTCGTTCCTTAGTTTTGTTACTCACAATTATAAAATGTATATAGTCTTCTTATAGAATCATGTTCAATTTTTTCCCCTTTCTTCATGTCCACACAACCTTGCCATACAACCTCTGAACTGTTTGTCTGTTTGTCTCCCTTGTTCTTGTTTCACTTACACCTGTGCAACTCCTGTCCTGAAAGGAAAATGTTCTAACTAGAAGGCATTTAGAGAAAGCCAAGAAGCATTTTTGTTTCAAAACAATAGGTTAAATTAAAAACTTTATTAATCTTTGCATAAATGATCAATATTTAAACTAGTTATTGAAGTTGATAACTTTCCACAACAGTTACAAAAATGAGTTGTTTGTTCAAAATAAATGACCACCTCAGAAGTCTCATGATTAAATCTGCAGTTACTCCTAGGCATAAATTACTTTCTGCTGGGTATTGCAAATGATAATTAGATGCCAAAGAGAATTTTGAGGTCAGCCAGAGTGAGCTTAGTGAAGGTCTCTCCTTTGCCTGACAGAATCTGCTGGGCAAGACCTTTCTTCCTCTTCTGGAGTTGCAGGATCTTTTCTTCTACTGTTCCTTCACAGACAAACCTAAAAAAAAGAAAATTTAAAAAATGACAAAACAAATCCATACCATCTCAAGTGCTACAAAAAAATGTCAGTGTTATATAAACACTTCCCCAGTACACTTCAGAGGATTCCTAGAAGATTCCTCTTACTTAGAAATTATTAATTAGCCAATTATGTGACTGACAAAATACTTATCCTCCTATTTTGTCTCAAACCCAAGACAACCTCTGAACAGAAAACACCTATTCTCATATCCAACCATGACGACATTTCAACTATAAGTCTGATACACTTCAGATCTCAACTTTGGTAATCTGAAGTAAATCTGTGAAAAAATCCTGTAATTATTGCATGATAACTGATGGCACCTATTATACAAAAAACATTGTACCCAAAATAGCATTTTAGATTCCAGTCTTTGAATGTGCTGTGCATTTATAATAACCGAGTTAATCTTCAGTACTTAGTTACTGATGCTTTTTATAAAAGTCAATTTTAACACTTATTAGAAGTGCTTTATATGTTTTTTTATCAGTGATAATAGAAAGGCTCAGGCTTAGGGATCACAGGCAAAAAAATCTCCATTCAATTAAGAGAAATGGTCTGGCACCCAAGAAACCCTTGCTAGCTGTCGGGACACCAACATGCATGCAAGTGTCACACAGAACACATGAAAACATTTTTATCTCACTGCCCAAATCTCAATGCCACTGTTAGGCCTTGTGTCTAGCTCTAAGCAGAGAAACCAAGGGCTCATCTCACTGACTAAAGCCAGACAGTATATAAGCAGCAGCTCCTCATTCTGGTAAGTAAAATGCTGACCTGTGTATCACAACATCCTTCTTCTGCCCCACACGGTAAATGCGGTCACATGCCTGGTCCTCCAGAGAAGGATTCCTACAAGGTAATTAAAAAAAGTTGCCTCATTTTCCTGACTCCAGGGAATCCTGTTTTCTTCCTCTGTAGAACTAGAACTGCTCCCAGGCTACCTTACGTTTACCAGCTTGATGGTCAGCCATCATCCTGACTGTATTTCCCTTTGCCCTGGGTTCCACACAAAGACAGCTGTGTGACTGAGACCACTGGTCCATGTAGCCCCAGGCCTGGCCAACAGTTGCTACTCAGAGAAAGCTGAGTAGGTGGTAAAATGAGTGAAGCAAAAAGGCAAACCCCAGTGAAAAAGGCCATCACTCAGGAATGTTTACATATGAGGTAGGTCCATCTGATGAAGTTAGAGGGAATACTTGTTGGTGTAACTTCCATATTGTAGAAGTATCTGCTTAATGCTACTACTCAGCAGCTGGTTTCATATGAGGCATATTAGTTCGCTTTGTAAGTTCTTATGAGTAATGTTTAGTTTAAGAAAACTGTGATTTTGACTTTGATGGGACAACACAAATATTAGGAGGTTGCACAGACTCTTCTTATATGTAAAACCCAAAGGTACATTGGCTGTGCCCAGTTACTGACTATGCTCAACACCATTAATTTGTTTCAAGCCAAATTGCCTGCAGGCACTACCACACCATTTCTATTACTGCAAGAAATTAAGCCAGAGACTGCCAAGTTGCCAGTAGCATTTTGTAATACAGAGCTGCATACCTGGATTGCTGTTATTCCTCTGTTTTTTCTTGCCCCTACATAACTGTATTTCAGGGAAGTGAGAACTGGATTGACAAATCAGTATCTTGGATGAAGATCACATTAAAAACACTTTTCCCCAACTAACCACTAACCCTGACTTTAACCTACACACCTCTCTCCTAACCCAGTTGCATCAGACATTACATGCAGTGAGAAAGCAAGCAGCATGGCCTACATATCCTCTCCAAGATAGAACTTGTATTTCTCTTTACCAGTGCATATCAAGGAGAAAGAGATGGTTTCCTCCAGTCAAGTTCAGGCCAACACCTCCAGCCAGCAATGAGACCAACATTACCTTCAAAGGCCAAAAGAGAGTTAGTCACAGAGTCAGACATCTCAGCTGCTCATAGCAGGGCTAAGGACTGCTTCCCTGGCCTGAATGGATACCTGAGGCCCTTTAGGATTGTTATTGAACTCTTCCACCACATCCATCCTCTGTTTGGGATTGACAGAGCCATCCACTGTGGCGTACTTCAGCCCCAGGCGCTGCAGGTGCACAGCCACAACTTTGAGCATGCTCGTCCACTGAGAGACAACCACGCTGGAGAGAGAACAGGGAATTCACAACCAGCCCTCTGCACTGGAACAGTTTGGTCATTGCAGTGTCTCACGAAAGGGGCTACAACAACTCAGGCACCCTTCCCCACTGCAAACTGGAGCCAAGCCCCTTCACAATTCAGGAATAGAGGTGTAGTGGTAGAACTTGCTGTGGAAGGCAAATACTCAAACTTCATATAAATTGATAACTTTCACCTCTATTTTTGGATTTTACATTTTCACCTCCTAATCACAAACCTGAGTCACAACACAGCTTTTTCTGAAAAACACAAAAATCAATACCAACACCAAATTTAGATTCACTATAGCCTCACTCCAGTTTCTTGAACTAAACAGTTTGTGAGGCAGTAATTTTTTTAACAGTTTCTTGAAAGAATAAAAGCAATGTTGGTGCTCCCATTCTTATGGGGGGAATGCTTTTTGGAAAAGACTGGAAAAAAGCTTTGTATAGGTCCTCTGATCAATGCATTCCTTTATCTCTAACAGGTTCAGTTTTAATCTCTACTTTAGTGCTCCACTTCTTTTGGGTTGTGGGGTGGGTATATACTTCTCATCACAACCAAATTATTCTCAATCCTATTACTGGAGAATAGTCTTCCTGGCCTCAAGGCCTGAGATTTCTCACACATTCCCTTATATTTACACTTATCTGTATCTTAAACTCCCCTCTTTTGTCTTAAACTTTTTTTTCCTCAAGACTTCTGTTCAACTACTGCAGAACTGTCACCATTTTATCATACCACGTGTTTCGTATTCAATTATATTATTTCTGCTGTTGTCAAGAAATAGTCTGCTTCTCTCAATCACTATGACTAAAGAAAAGAACATGGTTGCTAACCTTTTCTGAGGCTCTGGGTGACTCTGAATAGTTTTCAATTCAGCCAAGAGTTGAGCTATCTGCAGGAAAAAAAAAAAATCCAAAACATTAGCCTGCTTGCTCTC